AGACTGTTAACCCTATGGATGACGAGAAAAGGGACGAGGTCATTTTGGCTAGGAAGATGTTTTCAAAGATTGTTGTACGCCTTCTCTCTGATTGTCTGATTACGCATACGCGAGCTGATACCTCTCCACGTTTGATTTGCAGTCGAACTGCACTGTCCAGACAGTCCTATTTAAATGTTGTTTTCAGTCAGGTAATTCTCAATTTACTTTATACAAATGGTAATAATTATATATATATATATATATATATAATATATATATATATATATAAAAATCAGTTTTAAATGCAAGCTGTTAACAGATTGCCACTTACAGCATAGAGGTCATTCTTGAAGTGGATTGAATATTGACTATTTTGTTACAATGGATTACTCTGTGTCTACGTCATCATGATAATAATGCAGTTAGTACTTTGATCAGATAGTCATTTTATCTCTGAAGTAGGTTGAAGTAATTCGTCTAGATTGCATGTTTTTTTAAGTTCTATCCTTATGAACCTCTGGTTTACAAACGATAAGGTGTTGATTTGTTCACTGGATATTTGACACTTTCGCGGTGCCCAAGTTCTACATCTCTGCCGTGGTTACTGATTTTCAGCCATATCACCAAGAATCCTCAACCGCTGGTTCCTATAGTTTCGACGATCCCAACCAGGCAGTCTCCATCTGTCCACACAGCTAAGGTCAGTAGTCAGGGACTCTATTGACTGTTACCAGGTCTTGGTCTGGCTACCCTGAACCCTCTTCCAACCTAACCCGATTTCACTTAGCATGGTAATACTAGGTAGGAAGTGGCTCGACATGAGCAGTACATGTCCAATGCATCAGCCGTTGCAGGTTCAAAATCTGGTCATCAACTTGCCTATCTTGCCTAGTACCCTTCGTTTGACTTCAACATTCCTCACACGGTGATTCCACTACGCGCGAGCAATGCTACGAAGACGTGTGTGATCAAAACCCTGTAATCGCTTCATGTCTTCTACTTTTAACGGTCATGTCTCATCCGTACAACGTGACAGAATGGACTGGAGCTCAGTATATGCATCCCTTAATGGGTTATCGGATATCTCGTCAGTCGGCACCACAGATGACACAAGTTGGTGAATGCCAAACGGACCTTCTGTGTCCGAGCTGAGATTTCGTCAGCAACCAGCCCGTTCGTGCTGATACACTCCCCAAGTAAGTGAAGTAGTCGACATATTCCACGACTTTGTTCCCTATCACTAAACTGGGAGTAGTTTCAGCAGACAAGTCCTAGATCATCATCTTACATTTGACGGGTGCGAAATGTGTGCGAAAAATCCTCAGATTTCTGTCTAACGCGATGTATACTTTCTCGATACTCCTTTCACAGTCAGATGTTGCCATAACGCCTCACGGTCGATAGACTCAAATGCCACCTTCAGGTGAAGAAATATGGCAAGTGTCGTCGCCGGTAGTTATGCCTGTGTTCCAGAGCCTTTCGTGGGTTAAAAAGGTTTGATCGATGGACCCTCGTAGAGCTCAGTCTGAAACCTGCCTGGCTTTCTTGAATTTGCTGTTCTTGAGCTCTAGTTAGGCGTCGTATAACTGTGGACCCAAGGATCTTGGACACAGTATTAGTCAGACTAATTCTCCTATGATAGTCACAGAAAGACTTTTCTTCCTTCTTATAGACTGGTATTATCAGATTCCCACACACTACGTATTACCTTCGTCACTTTCATTTGCGATTTCCTACTTCGCTTCTTGCTGCTTTGTATCGTTCCAGGTTCGATACATCCTTCTCAATTCAAGATTAGTTGGAAGACCGAAATTTATGTCCGATTCAGGCTGATCTTGGATAACTAAAGCGTTGCTGGGGGCCATTTGAAATATGCTTTCAAGCGTTCTGTCTAACGTTATAACCACCTGTCGTTGGAGGTTGCAGCGTGTTGTCCTTTCCGGTGATGGTTTCACTGACTATCGTCTTCTTTCCCGTATTCTTAAATCAGCTTAAATAGTTGCCGAATGTTACCCACTGCTGATGCTTTCCCCTTCTCTCTCACTCTCACTGTCGCCAGCCACCATTTCTTGCGATCGACACAAAGACCCTTGGTCAACTTACGTATGAGTTGCTTTCGCTCTTCATCGTGGTTGGATCCAGCCAGCTGGAATCAGTCTCGCATCGATCAGTTTGGTTGGGGTCATGGTAATCCAATGACATTTGCTAACCTTCCAATGTAGGTTAACAACTATCTTAACCGCTGTTTCTATATCGGGCTTAATATCGTGCCAGGATGAGCATTGGTGTCACGTTCAGATGAATCTTTACTAACTCATCCCTACATGCGTTGTTTTTCTGTAACCAATCAAATATTAGATAAGTACCAGTGTGACATAAAAAGTTGTCATAAAAATAGAACTGATTGTTTACCTCAACAGTAGAATACTTGATTCTGATGAAAACTAACGGGGAACATATTAATTTTGCCCGGTTTTTGTAGCTATATACGAAACATCATTTAGATGCAGACGCTTTTGACTAAGTAGTCTGGATGGGGTTATACGTCCAAACTAATTTACCTTGTATTCGTCTCAATAAACCGGTGGTATAATTATCGTTTTCGACTTTGAATCAATGAATCATTGGTTTGAATCTCATTCCGTTTGAAGTTTATGCAGTCAGAAAGTATCGTAAGCGCTTACACGATTGATGTCGGTCATTGCCGTATTTATTGTATGAATGTGCACATGGTTGCTGTGTTTTTCAGTTCCGATGTTTCCTATGTCTTTCTCTTGGATCCACCAAGTGCTTGTCTAATTTCTTATTGATTTGCACTTATTGTTTTGTATTTATTTTCCGCATTTATTAAAAAACCCAGATTGCAAAGTTTTGCAATAATCTTGCTCAGTCCAACCATTGCTTAAGTCTTCAATGTATGATGAATTAAAAAGTTCTATATACCACTGGATATCTGTTGATGAATCTGAAGAATTCATTCCACCAATAAATGATGAATGCAGGGTGAATCGTTTGCTTATAGGCCTCACTGATCCATTACGTTTGATCAGCTTTATGGACAGCTTAGCTAGATCGAGTAATCAGAGAATGAATAAATATTTTCTGGATAATTCAAAAATGCCTACAAAAAAAATAGATAATAATGTGGATCAATGTGTTGTAACCCTCACTGTACAAGCAGATTGGTGCATTAACCTGTTTCGTTGTATTGGTGATATATTGTTGAATAATATGGCAGAAAGAATACCTAAAGAAAGTTCAACTAGAAGCTTTTATATTTTATTATTCTTATGCATTTATGGTCATCTGCCGTTGAAGTGTTTTACTGTTCCTTGTATTCTTCAAGAAGTATTCTCATCACTTTTGCCTAAATTGCCTCATGAAGTACATTGTATTTGTTGGTCTCATCCAGTTATCTATGGTCTAGTTAAATCATGGGCTTTATCCACTGAAAATATTGAAAATGAGTTAAATATCCCTATGAATTCATCAGTCTGTTTAATATTTACCAATGATATACTGCCAATTTTGATGCAATCTTTACCATGTCTTCAAAAGATGTTTGATTCAGCTGGTGTTTCTACAAAATTATTATCCAATCGTATTAGTGAAACTTTATGTTTTTGGGCTCGAGTATGGTTCAATAAAATTAGTGGTACCGAACATGTTGTACCCAACACAATTGTTATTAATGCCTACATGAATAATTTGCATTCCCTGTTGACAAGCTGTTTACATAATAACAAATCTATTTGTAAGAGTCATAGAGAAGTTAATAGCAACCGAAATTTATCTGAAGCGGTTATCATTCCTATCCAATTAGTTGATACATTATCCATTGTTTAAAACAACGTTTTGAAAATTTGCTCTCCTCCGACTATCCTTTTTATAGTAATAATGATAATAATAATAATAAAATTGATGCTACGGAATTGAGAATTGCTGGAAGCTTGTTAATTCATCTATTACAAGAAGTTGGAAATGACGATGATGATAGTTTATGTAATTCATCTGCTTTAAGTCAGCTCTATCTATTATTGACAAAAATACTACTTTTTTTATACAACCTCAGTGTCCTCTCAGAAGTTTCAAAAAACTCCTCCAATCGGTACAGAACACCGAGACGGATGCGCACAAAATGATGATGATGATATCAATGAGTATACTGAAACTGTGTTCACCTTCAAAGAATTAATCCACCGATCTGAGGGTGTTATATTAAACAGATTGAATTACGAAAAGGCGTCAGATTGGCATGAAGAAAGCTTCTTTAATCAGTTGACCAATGTTATATTCACGAATACGGCTTATTCAAAATGGATTACTCCATTATTTTGTCATTTTGTTTCAAGTATTTATTCAAGTGTATGCGATGATAAGCATCATTCTGTAGTTTCCTCTGTTGCGAATTTTTCTCGGCTGTGGCTTAAGTATTTAGTGAAACATGTAAACGTTGTTTTAGAGGCAGTTGTTAATGCTTATCCTTTACCTAATTTGTATTTCACTTCTCGACATCTTTTAAGAGAGTATAGACTATGCCCATTGTCTGTATTGCCAAGTCTAGGTGAATTGATTCGCTTGCATCAATTAGGCTTATTGTTACACCTTCACGTGCACTTAGTTTCATGCGGTAATGAGTTAGTTGTAATCAGTATTTATTGTGTCTTGGGTTTATACGTGTTTGGTTATCAAGCTTCTGTGAACCGTGGGATTTATGCACTGATTTCGGGTGGACATCAGAACAAACCATTTCAAATGTATCCGAAGTAAATAGTCAGATAAAACATCATCTTGAACCTGCAATGTCAGCGTTTGAAAAAACTGGTGTTTTACTCACTAGAAAGTTGGGTTACCTTTGGCATGAAATCACTGCTAATTATCCACTTTCATTACTAGTGAATTTGTCATCTTCAAACGTGTTGGGATCTATTACTCCATTGGAGTCACCCTCTTATCTTGTTCTACATTTGACAATGAATTTACTATTGGTGAATCGTTTACGTACTGTGCATCCAAGTTTTGGCCTCAGGAAATCAAATGCGCTGCTATGTGTAAGGATGATGAAAATCAAAATTCTACATGGGTTGAACTATATTTACCATTTAATTCATCATCTGATGTCAATTATTCAAATAAGCTGAGTTTTAATAAGTGTATTGAACTGTATCTGCCTGTGGGTATTATTCACCGTTGTTTGCCAAGACAAGAATTGTTGGGTCTGCTAAAAAGTTTTTCTTCATTGCTTGGCGACTGTGATTTGTCAAATGTGAATAATTCTTGTCTAAAGGTTCATAGTTATGTTGCCGAGTTGATTTCAAGTCTGGTCAATATTCGTTTATCTGCTCCCATTTACCTGACAACATTTTCTTCCATCATGTTAGACGATTATCGAATGTGGCTGACTAATTTGGCGGATGTTGTAACAGAGGATAAAAGTTTGTGTTCACAATCACCAGAAGTTTTTAATGCATGTCTTTCAACAATGAGCTACCTTGAATGTTTGTTATTATTATGGCAACCTTGGCAGTGGAGCGTGTTGGAATCCGAAAAGTCTCCATTATCTGTTAGATTGGGTCTTATTCAGTTGAGTATGAGAATGCGTCAACTTCGACCTTCTTTGTCAATGCAACAATGGGATTTTATTCTTTGCTTAACTGTTAGTTGGGTTTGTGAAAGTGTTCAATATTTCTGTGAATCATCAAAATCTGGTTCTGAAAAAACGGTACATGATTTACTGGCATTTCGGACATTTCGAATGGCTGCTGCACTTGGTGCGATATTTGTTGAACGTTATTCATATTTACCTTTGTCCGATTGTATTATTTTAAAAGAAAATAGTTCAAGTAAAACGGTTATCCAACCTGGTAATGTGGAGGAAAATGATGAGATAGAAGATGAAGAACTTGGCAATGAGTTTCTTGATGAAGAAGAGAATGCGAAACAGTTCTCTTATTCACCATGTGTTAGTGGTAAGGATTCAGAAGATATTTTGACTGAAAGTTTCAATATAGAATTCGACGAAGAATTAGATACGGATGTTACTCAGATGGGTGTTGAAGAAGATACTGATTTAGATGATGAAGAGTACATGTTTAGTGTCTTCGCAAAGGGATTACCCCTCATACCTCGTCGAGGGGAGGCACCTGTAACCGTTCGAAACGATTGGGAAAAGTTTTTCGCTGGAAACCTCTATTCCACATTTTTACCACTTGTTTTACAATCTTGCATACCGTTGGAAAATCGGAAATCTCAGGCGCTTATTGATACTGATATACACATTCGGGCCCTGTGTGCTGCATTTGCTACCTGCCCAGCTGATCATTTAATAAATACATTCACTATTCAGCCTGCATTGACACTTGAGTTCTTGGGTGAGGTTCAATTGAAAACAGATCATTCATGTGCACATCAGCTATTACCTTCTAAAAATTCATCTGTGTACAACCTGACTTCTGGATTTCGTGCTAGTTTAGATATGGCCTGCAAGTTAATTACTTACTCACCTCATCAGTCTGGTCAACTTCTTGGACATATTTTACTTAATCGGCTGTTTGGAATGCGTGTGCTTCAGGGCAAGAATAAAGCATCAGTATCTATAGCTAATTATCTAATCCGTCGAATTCCAACTTCTTGGACATCAACTTTATGTGGTGTATTGCCGCCATCTGTTGAAAAGTATTTGGAGAGTGAACTGGCTGCTGATAACTGGGGTCGTGGTAATTCAAGCTTATCACACCTGATTGATTTATCTGCTTCCGGCTGGACTCTAAATTGTCAGTCCCATCAAGCTCTTCTGGGTTATCTACTTGCTTGGGACAGTTTGTTAAGCCTAATGACTGGCGCTGGCCCACAAACTCGTGCTTTGTTACAAAGCGCCCTTTTGATTCATCGGCTTTTATGCTTGATAGGTTTATACTTGTAATTGGTTTGCTCCTTCCACCCTCAGGAAATTTAGAAGATTATTCAAACCATGCTTCCAGATTGGAACCTGATGAGCGTCTCTTGCTTATTAACTCAGCATCCCGTATGTACCTCACAGCTGCACTGACTGCATTCTCACGTCGTCATAATAGACGACCTGCTAACTTGATGGAGCCTGTTGCTTGTGGAGATGATAGAGAATGGCGAGATGTCTTCTCTCCTGATGATCCACTTCTTCAAATACCGGGGCATAGAGTGGCCTGTGATATTAATCACTTTGCAGTGAGACTATTTCGTCGTTTCTTATCGGACGCTCCAGGCTTGATTCGTGCATGGCACACTCAACTTACATCATCCAGTCCCTCACAAGATATTAATTCACAAATTAGTCCACTTGCTAATCACCGACCTGGTCGCTTGCGTCAGTTGGCTGGCACTATTGATAAAGTTGTTTCGAAGTATTTCTCTCCTAGTTTAGCTCGAGATGAAGTTGTTCTTGTTCAGTATCGTTCATATCTCAGATTGTTGAACAAAGAGCGAACTTCTTCTAAGAGTTTGTTTTCACTGCTCAAAAATACCGCTGAAGCCGAAGCGTTCGTATAAAAAGCCGTCCCTTATCACGTGAAGTAAGTAAAAAAATTGCTTTATTTTGGTGTTAAATTGCTACTTAAACATATATTACTAAGTGTTTGCATACTGTTTTGTCCATTATGTAAATCAAAAGGTGTTGAACAAAAAAAGTGTGCTTATGGCAACTGTTCTTAAAGTGTATGCAGATCAAGTATACAGTACAGATTAATACTAATCAATTTCTGGGTAGTTACAGCTATGAAAAGGGCTTCATCTTTAACGACTTTTCCATGAACCTTTCAAGTACTTTGGTTCTCGACCGATAGCTGCTACCTTGACGTGGTGGTCGGGCTTGCATATCACAATGACCCAACGAGCTATGCTCGTGGAACGCTTGTTCCCTCGAGGTCCTACCATACCAGAAACGTCTGTTGGATAGTGAGTGGTTAGACGAAAAGCAGTTACCGTTGGGGTGTAAATTACTACACTATGATGGGGGTCAGAGGGAGAAGTCGTACTGCTGCTAGCGGGATGGGGTGTGACAGCAGTAAGGTGTTTCCCTTGGATGACCAGCAGTGCCATGCTGATGCTGCCTTCTCAGTGGAGGGGAAGGGGGGTTAGAAAAGGTCTGCCCCAAAAATAACACACCCCACCATGCCCCACGGTCTGCTGGGCTGGCGGTGTTGGTTCACTTGTCGTTTCCTTTCGACCATCCGGCCCCAAAAATACAAAAGTTCAAAATAATCATACTCAAAAGGCTTCGTGTGACAGGCCTCAAGCAGATGTCCGATGGGCTCTGCGGTCACACAAATCTCTTTCAGGTACCTTAAGAAGAAATAGCCTTCCACAGTGTGGGCAGCCGGGAAGTGTCAACCACCCTCACAACTCACTCAGCACTCCCGTCTCATCACCTACTATCCACCTCCCCCATCATTACCTCCTAATCTTCCTTCACATCTGTCAACTAACGATACTACATCATCTTCAATTTCCCGTAGCTATGCAGCCTTCGACAACGATCTGAATCCACAGAACACCATCCCTGGTCTCCTTAAACCACGCTCAAAATTATACATCACGGCCTTCAATGTCCGCACCCTCCATCAAATTGGTCAACAGGCTTCGTTGGCAAAGACTCTAGCAACTAGGACCATGGATGTGTGCTGTGTTTGTGAGACACGCATACAGGACTCAAGTGTGGTTATTCACCTGACCTCTGTTGGGCAATCTGGTGAGTCCACAAAATTCACTTTTCGAGTTTCTGGAGATTCGATAGCTAGCTAGCTGTTATGGTCTTGCAGGTGTAGGCGTAGCATTAAGTACTAGGGCTGAAAACTCACTACTAGACTGGATCTCAGCTGATAGTCGCCTCTGCGCTGTCCGGCTGAACGGCACAGTGAACACTAAAAGGAATAGTGAAACTTGCCGTTGTCTCTTTGTAATCTCTGCTTACTCACCAACTGACTGCAGTTCGCATGAAATGAAGGACGAGTTCTAACGAAAACTGTCTAGCCTTCTCTCGAAAGCCAAACGTTCAGATGTGGTGGTTGTTGCAGGTGATTTCAATGCAAAGGTGGGTAGACTGAGTCATGCAGAAAGGCACTTAGGTGACACTTTCGGAGTCCCGGCTGAACGAACAGATAACGGTGATCGCCTACTACAACTGTGCTCAGATGACCGCCTATTTTTAGTTAGCACAAATCCCAGACACAAAGAAAGACACTGTCTGACGTGGCGTCCACCGAGCTCAACTCAGCGATGGACATAGATAGACCACATTGCTATTAGTCATCGCTGGAGAGGATCGGTGGAAGACTGCTGCTCCTTCTGGAGTACGTGTTTGGATGGTGACCACATGTTGGTCGAAGAGCATGTATGCCTGCCTACGTTTCAATGGACGTAAGAAAAATTTGGCAACAAAACCATTACGAGTGCTGCTGCAAAACGGAAATACCAAAGCCGTGTTCAGTGAGAAACTGGATAGGCAGTTATCGGAACAGAACACCATCACTCATCCAGAGAAGCTTGCTGCCATCTCCAGTCTGCTGTAAAATCAGCACTAAAGACTGTAGCGGACTCCGAAGGAGTGGCTATAAAGAGCCAGTGGATGTTAGCAGCTTCTTCCAAACTAATGGATGCACGTGAACGCATCCCTGCAGGCTGTGAGTACAATGAAGAGCGAGCACAACTTAAAAGTAGATTGAGAAAAGTCTGCGCAACGATCGTGAACAGTGGTGGGCAGTGAAGGCTAAAGAGATGGAAAAGGCAGCGGCGATCGGTAACAGTAGACAGTTATTTAGACTTATTAAGGAGACTGGGGGGAAATGGTCAACAACAGTTAGTGAGGCTATAGCGGAGAAGGACGGATCTGCGATTCACTCGCAGGGGAGACGACTGGAACGATGGGCAGAACACTTCGAGGAACAGTTTAACTGACCTCCAGCCACCATTGCGCTGCCCACTATCCAGTCGGATCCTGAATGGGACATAGAGACAGGCCCCCCAACACTAGAAGAAGTTGAGAAAGCGGTAGGTAGCCTGAAACGGGAAGGGCAGCAGGACCAGACGGACTACCTGCTGAGGTATACAAGAATGGTGGTAGAGTTCTCTTAGTCAGGCTAACGGAAGTGTTAGCCAGTATATGGGAATCAAATACGATCCCCTCCGACTGGTCTAAGTCACTGATCATCCCAGTCTTCAAGAAAGGCGAGAAGTCCTCTTGTGATAACCACAGAGGAATCAGCCTGACAAACATAGTGTCTAAGATCCTAAGTTCTATAATTCTCCGACGCCTGAGTGGAGCTCGGGAACAGCAAGCCCGAGAAAACCAGGCAGGCTTTAGACCTGGCCGTGGATGTATCGACCAAATATTCACACTGCGCCAGGTCCTGGAACATAGGCATGCTTACAGACGCCCGACAATAGCTGTATTTCTCGACCTGAAGGCGGCATTTGACTCCGTTGATCGAGAAGTCTTATGGCAGTGTCTGTCACTGAAAGGCGTGCCTAGTAAGTACATCACCTTATTGAAAGCTCTCTACTCGAACACTTGTGGGCATGTTAGAGCCTATGGTGAGTTGTCCAGGGAGCTATACTCATCAAGTGGTGTCCGTCAAGGCTACCCACTATCCCCATTCTTATTTAATTTTATCATAGATATTCTTATGGAGGTTTCCCTCTCGTCACCTGATTACCAGACGTTGACCTAATCGCAGGAGAATTTTCCTTAGATCTAGAATATGCAGATGACATAGTCCTGTTAGGTGAAGACGCTGACAAGATGCAGAGTCTTCTGAACACTTTGAGTAACAATTTGAGAATGTTTGGGATGCGATTTTCACCACCCAAATGCAAATTTTTGCTCGAGGACTGGTCTTCGACGGGTCCTCAGCTAACAATAGAGAGTGAATTGATTGAGTGTGTTGACCACTTCACTTACCTGGGAGAGTGGGATCAGTCCTGGTGGCTGGCTCAGTGGCCGATGAGATTTCTGCACGGAAACAGAAGGCTTGACTGGCTGGCTTTTGCCAATTTGCGCCACCTATGGCGCCGCCGTGATATCCGTTTGTCTATTAAGGGTCATGTGTACTACACACCAGTCCGGTCTGTTCTGCTGTATGGCTGTGAAACATGGTCATTGAAAGCAAAAGACATGAGAAGGCTTCAGGTGTTTGACCACCGTTGCCTTCGTAGTATAGGACGTATTCCGTGGTGTCACCATGTGAGTAATGCAGAAGTGAGGAGTAGAGGTTTAGGGGGAAGGGGTATATCAGTTGACGAGGTTGTGAACCTTCATCGACTTGAGATGGTTGGAACATGTGTTATGTATGCCCAGTCAGTAAAACCTGACACTAACGTATGAAGTCTCTGACTGTTGGTTTGAGCCATGTGGGGCGATGTAGACTAGGTGGTTGGGGTCCACAGGACAAGAGGAACAGTGAGTATTTGGAGACCCTAGGTGATATGGCTCAGAACCGATGTCAGTGGCGTAGATGTATACACACATTATCCTCATCTTAACAACGCTATACCGAATCTCACCATTTTCTCATTCTTCCTTTCTCTCCCTTAGTACTTTATATTTCTTGTGACTGGATCTTCTTATCTTCATCTTGGACCTCACTACCTTTTTACTTGATGTACTGATATGAGATGTGGCAAGTCGGACCGTAACGCAGTAATGTCTGATCCTATATTGATATTGATTGCTTGATTTGACAAGTACTTTGGTTAGTTTACTGCATGAATAGTAAAATACTGTATTCTCAAATAACATCAACCTCATATCCTATTTCACTCGTTCCTTTCTAACTGAAATCACGTAGGTGATTGCTACATATTTTGTGGATGATGAGCATTCCATGGAAATGATTGTTCAACTACCAGACAACTATCCTTTAAATCCAGTTACTGTCAGTAAGGGACGTAGTGTTGGCGTAGGAAGTCAACAATGGCAGTCATGGCTATTACAAATGTCTGTTTTCATTAATAATCACGTAAGTAGGTCTTATTTATTCCAATTTTTGTTGAATATTTTTCATATTTGTCTCTTAATTTGTAGAGATTTAGCTTTACTGACTTGAGTATTTAGCTCATGTCATCCAATCCTCCTCGGTTAAAAGCCGTCTCTCTCCACATACTTCGATCTGGCAAACGGCTTATATCCCAAACAATAACATTAAATCGACTCATAATCTGCACCTAGCATGGGGCGTCAAGGTAGGTGGTATCTCACTTAGCATGCGCAGTACATGTCCAAACCATCTCAATCGACTAATGTTCATAGTCTCATTTATTGACTTGCCTCTAACTTAGTATCATTCTCCTAACCTCAACACTCTTCACGGTGATTTGACTAATCGTGAGGAATTTCTACGAAGACATCTGTGATCAAAACTATTCAACCACTTCCTGTCTTCTAAAATAGAGATTATTTGTAGCTCAGGTGGATGGTCTTGGTTATGTTGTCTTCCCTGAGCTGGGTCCTTTAATCGTGAAGCTGTCATCGTCTTGCCATATGACCTCTCAATCGAGCTGTGGCTCATTGGTTTAGGGGGATAACTTTCAGCCAACGAGTCATGGGTTCTAGCTCCTTGTATCTACAAGACTTGGCAACTGGTAAGTGTCACTAGCCATCACACAATAGATGTGACTAACTGTCTGCTGCACGTATGTGCACAAGGTTGCTGAGTGAATTCCAATAATTTATTCCAATATTCTGGATCGATGGGGTCGAATGCCGCCTTCAGGTGGAGAAACAACCAGTGTCGCGTGTCGGTAAGTGTGCCTGAGTTCCAGAACCTAGTAGAGTGTGAATATTTAGTCGGAACACTCTCGACCAGGTCTGAAGCCTGTCTGTCTGTCTGATTTTCTCATGTTTGCTGTTCGTGAGCTCCACTCATACATCGAATGGTTATAAAACCTATAATCTTGAACACTGTATTCGTCAGGTCGATTTCCCTGTTGTCATCACAAGAGGAGGACTTATCGCCTTTCTTGAAGATTTTCACACAAGCAGTAATTGAGACCAATCAAATGAGATCATATCTGACTCCCATGCAGTTGAGTTAATTTGATCAATAACATTCCCCAATCACCGTCTTTAGTACCTATCTTCCTGACCCTGCTGCCCTTCCTTCTCTCAGGTTACGTACAACCTTCTCGACTTCTCCAACTGTTGGGGGTCTTATCTTGACATTTCATCGAGGATGCACCTGGATAGCGGACAACAGAGTAGTAGTTGGAGGCCTGTTAAACTATTCCTGGAAGTGTCCCACCCACTGTTCCAGTTACCACCCTGTGAGTAAATCACAGACCCATCCCTCTTTGCTAGAGTATCAGTGACCATTGATATTTTGCCCCAGTTTCCCTGATAGGTAAGATAGTTGTATAGTTCTATCTACCACTGTTGTCTTCCCCATCTCCTTAGACTTCGTCACCCACCACTGCTCACAATCACTACGTAGACTTCTTTAGTTGTTTACTTGTTTGAATTATGTTCTCTGAACTGGGTTGTTTAATCGTGAAGCTGTCATCGTCTTGCTAGACGACATCATCAGCACTGACTTCAGTATGAAGTGAGCTGTCAATATCTCTCCGTGAGTGATTTAGTAGCTTGCTCTGACGATGTAGTCTGTGATTGTTTGTTTCCTTCGATTGTTGTGTCATTGATTGTATAGACTTTCCTGTTGGCTGTTCGTCTGCTTCACCTCTGACCTTTCTGTGGTTTATCATTTTTCTACTTGTTTGATAGATTGGTTCTATGTCTATATATCTATTGATTGCTGACTGACCTGAATGCCAAGCTTCTAGGAATTCTGACATTCTTTGTGTTTCCTGTGTCCAAAATTTCTACATTGTCGAAATAGAATTCATGTCCACAGTTATCCACGTGCATTGAAATGAGTGACGAAATGTCGTGGCGTTTAATAGCCAATTGGTGCTCATGTAGAGGAAGGTGAAGAGGGTGGCCGCTTTGTCCAATGTAGTGCTGACTACAGTTATTGCAGTTGATGTTGTAAATGATATTCGGTTTATCTTCTTTGCTTGTTGCATCCTTTGGTCTGCATAATAGTGTTTGGAGGGAATTTGTTGGTTTATGAGCCAGACCAATTCGAAAAAGCGGTTTCAGTAATCTTGTCGTGATTTCTGATACATTCTTTATGTATGGTGGGACGATACGTTTGTTGATTTTTGTCGATGACTTTGTAGTTGATGATGTAGGGGATAGGCATCTTCTGATAAAGTTTCGTGGGTATCCGTTCTTGTTTAGGATGGATATCAAGTAGTTTTCTTCGTTTCTCCGTGAAGTTGTTGTGCTGCAGTGTGTTCTCGCTTTTTTGAATAGAGTCTGCAGGCAACTGATTTTGTGTGTTGTTGGGTTGTTGCTATTGTAGTTGAGGATTTGGTGAGTGTGTGTACACTTGGATTTCCAGCTTTCCGGCATTTGTCCTCCTGACTAAAGCATCCAGGAATGGTAGTTGGTTGTTTGGCTCCTTCTCCATTGTGAATTTGATACCATTGAAAACGTTGTTGATCAAACTGTGGGTGTTTTCTATATCATCCTTTTTAATGATGACAAAAGTGTCGTCTATATAGCGAATCGAAATTTTTGGTTTGATCACAGGTAGAATAATGGCTTTCAGTCTCTGCATCACTGCTTCTGCAATTAATCTGGATATCGGTGATCCCATTGGAGTTCCTTTCATCTGTTTGTATATCTTGCCGTTGAATTGGAAGTATGTTGTGATACGAAGGTTGATGAGTTCCATCAGACTTGAACATTTGAGTTTTGTGCGTTCTGAAAGGTTTTTGTCTTCATTGATCAGGAGGGATATCGTTTCCTTGACCAATTGAGGTTCGATGGATGTGTATAGAGCAGTGACATCGAAGGATATCATTAACTCATCGTTTTCTATGTTAATACTTTTGATCTTTTCTAAGAATCCCGTTGGTGATTTGATGGAATGTCTGCATGATTGAATGATGTGTTTCAGTTTTCTCGAAAGTTCTCTAGATATATTGTATGTTGAAGTTAGCAATCAACAGATGTATAGACATAGACCCTATCTATCAATGAAGAAGGAAAATGATAAACCACAGAAAGGTCAGAGGTGAAGGAGACGAACAGCCAACAGGAAAGTCTATACAATCAATGACACAACAATCGAAGGAAACAAACAATCACAGACTACATCGTCAGAGCAAGCTACTAAATCACTCACGGAGAGATATTGACAGCTCACTTCATACTGAAGTCAGTGCTGATGATGTCGTCTAGCAAGACGATGACAGCTTCACGATTAAACAACCCAGTTCAGAGAGCACAGCAGAGCGAAGATCATGTCTTCTATTTTCACCGGCCACGTCTCACATTCTTTCAGCGGGACAGACGGAACTGCAACGCAGTATGCTGGTATGTAGTCGGGTATCTCATAAGTTGGCGCCACAGGTGGAGCAAGTCTGCGAATGCCAAACGGGTCTTCTATATCGTGCTTGAAATTTCTTTAGCAACCAACCCGTTCGTACTGACGCATCTCCCCAAGTAAATAGAATGGTCTACATTTTCCCTGTCATTATGGTGGGAGTACATGGAGCAAAGCAATCCTGGAGCGTTATTTTAAATGTCACATGTGGGAAACGCAAGGCTGTAAATTATGTGACATCACTGACGCAGTATTGCTATAATTCGAATTAGTCGGTAAGCTGGATCCGTTGCTATTACCAGTTGAGATGAAACTGGGTATAGAAGTATTTCGAAAGCCTATGGTAGTCGCGTGATCACCTTTAATTACTTTGCTTATCTCTTCCTATTCTAATCTCATGGGACTTTGGAATGTAGCTTCCATCGTTTGTTTGGATTTGATACAGTATGTGATCTACGTTTCCCTGTCAACAGTCATCGACCAAGTGCATCGACAATCTGAGGCAAATTCGTTTCCTCGCGCAGAGTTGAAATCTACCAAAGTCATCCACACTATACCATATGAGGCATTAGAATTAGTTCACTAACAACAGTGTTCACCGTATCTTTCCCAATCTCTTAGAGCTGAGAACTGACAATCAACAGTCTATGACACTGTTTGAAGGCATACCACATAATTCCTCCCCAGAAAAGATTTTCTCAGTTATTCCTGTTTTTCTTTCCTGTACAATCAATCAATCTAGGACGGATCCATTTTAGGCGGTGTCGATCTGTGGCAACGTAATGTTCGAAAGAGGTTCGACGGTGTTGAAGAATGTGCAATTTGTTACTCAATTGTGCATAGTACAAATTTCAGTCTACCAAAGATGAATTGTCATACTTGTCGTAAATTGTTTCATTATGCTTGTATGTATAAATGGTTTACAACTAGCCGAAATCCTGTTTGCCCATTATGTAGACACTTGTTTTTCGATCCTACTGGTCGACCTGTATCAACATAATTGAAGATGAAGAATTAAGATAATGATGATTTAAAGGAATGTGATAATGTTAAATTTTTACACTCAATACAGTTTATCTGTTATTCGTTCTATCTACCTACTTTCGCATCTTTTTAAGCGATTCTTTGAAATACTACTTGATTATTTTTGAGTAACTGTTCTATGTATGCAAAATGTTCAAACTGTGCTTTTGAATGAAAACTGTGAAATTCTAAGTACAATGGGTTTTGTTTAATGATTTGTTTACTCAATGGAAATGGACGATGTATGAATACTTTGTATTGGTTTACTTATTTTCTGTTTGTTTGTGAGTTTTTTTTTATAGTATGTGTAGCAATGAAATAAATATCACATTCAGTATGAACTGTCTTATATTTTTTGTACTTCTATCTACTCACGAAAACGGGTGAGTCAATCGGTTCACCTTAGCGAATAGATACAGATTAAAAAATGATGCACTGGAGGGAGATTAGTATAATTGGGCTTCGAGAGTGCTATACGGTTTGATACTCAAGAAACCTATCCGCGAACACAATAATCTGATCCCCAGCTCGACCAATGAGGAGTAAAACCAAGAGAAAGCAAAAAGAAAGTGAACTCCATGTTTGTTGTTACCCCTGGCTGATAATAGTGGAAATCCCTGTGTATATGTGAACTTTAATCAGGTGAGCTTGCGAATAAACCATTCAAGGAGGGGATTTATAAAAAAAGATTTAGAACTTTAAGTCTGTTCATGTTCGCCAAGAATGGCGTAGTTGATGAAAATATTCAGTAATTTGGCATTTTGCAGTCGAACTTTGAAAAAATAGTCGTTACTAATGGGATAGGTGGGGTGTAAAACTAACTGATTCTATAACTTTTATTCATCACACTTGTGAAATGTCCTAAGGAGGGAGGTGTATGCTTACTGTTTACAAAAATGAACTAACAGGTTACATAGATCACCAGAAGTTGCTGCTAGTGTACCTTTCCTCATATTTCCCAATCTGTCTGAACCTTCTTACTAGGAAAGGACAGTGAAATAATCTCGGGAAGATATCATTACTGAAATTTGATTCCACATTTGCTTATGTGATAGGGAGGCAAAAGAGATACTTATCATGGGATTTCCTCCACATTAATGTGACCCAAATCAGTTTCAAACGCATTTACCCTTAGTTATTATGTGAAGGCTTATAGTATCATGGGAAAGTTGGATAACTGCACCACCCCTGTCCTGCCCATTGTTTTATCGCACCAGGCTTGTCAAGCTAACACTTGGAGTCAGCCTGCGAATATCAAGAACTTCGCCTAGTTTACTAGCCGTCCTAAGCCCGGATACAGAGGAAAGGTTGGGCACGGGGCTAGCAACCCTACCTCGGGAAACCAATCCAATCGCTAAAAAAAACTTCAAAGCACAGACGAAATATAAAAACAAACTTATTTCTCTCTGGGATTGGGAAGACGAAATGAAGCCGGTTGGTGAAAGCCTTCAGGAACCCATTTGGCCAATTTGTCTTCTCTCGATGAAAGCAAAAGTAAGAATGGGAACATGGAATGCCCGGCCAATGTTCGAAGGTGGATGACAAGACTGCCCAGATTGCAAAAGATATGGGAGATATGGCAGAAGTGCTAGGAATCTGCACGACCAGATGGAATGGAAGTGGACTCTCCAAACTGTTAACTGGAGAGTCAATAATCTACTCCAAATTTGTCATCCAGACGACAACCACGAGCACACTGAGTTATGGAGTGGCTATCATGATGTCCCCAAGGGCATCACAGGCTCTCATGCAGTGGGAGCCAATCTCTTCCACGATAGTGAAAACAAGATTCAACTCAAAAGGAAGGAAAGTTACAATCATACAATGCTACGCTACGCACCTAAAATTATGCAGACCAAGAGAAGAAGGAGGAATTCCATAGACAACTGCAATCAGTAATATACAAGACCAGACCTCAGTTTGCGACATCAAAATTCTAATGGGTGATAGGAATGTCTAACTGGGAGGTGGCAACTCAGGAAGAGAACCAATCATGGGTCTAGAGGCGCTTGGTGAAATGAACGAGAATGGAGAACTGTTTGCAGATCTCTGTGCATTCAACGACTTGGTGATTGGAGTCAGGCAGTGTGTGCAGACACAAGGATATTCACAAAGCGAAATGGATTTAACCAGATACCAGGACACACTAAAAGTCATATCGACCTTATCTCAATGTGAAAAAAGTGGAGACGCAGCCAGCCTACTGGACACAAGATCAGGTGAAGAAGGGGAGACATATGCAGAGACAACAGTGGACATGCTCACATCACTATTGCAGAAGATTGGAAGGTAGGAAAGACACCAGCAGATTGGAAAAAGGGGTACCTTGTCAAACTCTCGAAGAATTTAGACTTATGTCTTTACAAGAACTGGCTCAGAATCATGGTCCTGTCTATCACAAGCAAAGTATTATGCTACATCATTCTGGAGAGACTAAAGGTCCTCTGGATTCAAAATTACCACCGGAGGAGGCTTGCTGGATTCAGGAAGAACAAATCATGTGGGAATCAAACTGCAGCGCTATGCATCATCATAGAACAGAGGGTAGAATGGCAGTCAACTCAACTTCATCGATTTTGAAAAGGCTTTCTACATTGCCGACCGAGAAGTAATCTGGCAACTGCCACAAACATTTATCAACCTCACTCAACAGCTATATGAAGACGTCACATGCCAGGTGATTCACAATGGAAAGCTCAGTGAAGACAGGAGTAAGACAAGGCTTCCGCCTACTATCACCGATGATCTTCCTGCTTGTGGTCGACTGGATCATGCAGGAAACCGTGAGGAGCGAGAAGATGGGCATACGCTGGTTGGACCGATAAAAGATCTCATAAGAAGGTTTGGATTTCCCCGCCGATGGTGATTTATGTCTTGTCGCACAAGCTTGAAGATGTACAGGCGAAAACCAACAAGTTGACAGAAGAGGCAGGGTAGTGAAGACGGGACTTCAAGTGAATGTGGAGAAGATGGAAGTGATGAAGATCCCCAGCCAACAACAGCAAGCACCAATCATCATGAGCGGGAGAAATTTAAAGGAAGTAGTCTCTTTCACCTACCTAGGCAGCGTAGCATCGTTTCAACTACGGGCGACACAGATGAGGACGTCAATACTTGGATCAAAAAAGCAAAACGGGTCTTCATAAACTTAAAATAATCAGTGTGGAGACCTACTGCACTGCACTCAGCCTAAAGAACTAGATCTGGGTTTTTTATACTAACGTCAAGTCAGTGCTGCTATGTGGTTCAGAAACTTGGCGCGTCACGAAAAGCATTTCCAACAAACTACAGACATTCATCAATAGCTGCTGCCTACGCTTGCTCGGTACTGAAAATGAGATGGCCAGAAAGAATAAGCAACAAGGAACTCTGGCTGGCTGGCAGCGAACCAACCAAGAACCCATCGCCCAACAAATATGCAGAAGAAAGTGGAGATGGATTGGATTGGACATACACTGATAAGACCCTTTAGAAACATCACGCTTCAGGCCAGGCCTTCGAGTGGAATCCAAATGGCAAACGACGAGTTTGCAGTCCGCAGCGAGGGTGACATGGAGGAGATGGTGTGAGGAAGAAATGAAGGCTTGTGGGCAGTAGTGGAGCCAGGTTGAAAAGACTGCAGAGAAGAGAGTGCAATGATGACGTGCTGCTGAAACCCTATCTTTTACTAGGAACCCAAAGGAGAAACAATAATGATAATCAGAATGAGAATGTAAAAGACCAAACATTATGGATTGAAATGCAGAGGGTACAGCAACTAAACCAACCTATCAAGGTTAAATACATAGATGAAACCACCTTTAAAATCACTGAACTAAGTGGATCACAGATCCCTAAGTTATATTGACGAGCAAAGATACATAAGCCAGGTATACCTTTAAGTCCTATATTATCAATGATAAACTCAGTGGTTATGCGGAATTCTCGAACCATTGCGCAAACTTCCGGGAGAACACACTGTTTCTGACAAGTTGCAATTTGTTCGACATCTTGTTGAATTCAATAGCACCGGTAAGCATCTTGTTTCATTTGATGTTGTATCTCTTCACAAATGTACCAGTTGATGAAACCATTGAGTTTGTCTGTCTGGAAGATGGTAATATTTCTATCCTTACAAACGAGTTGAGAAAGCTTCCAAATCTATGCATCAGAAACATCGAGTTCAACGGATAGTTATTCCGCCAAACTGATGGAGCCGTAGTTGGAGGCCTTCTGGGTTCCCTTTTCGATGATTTATTTTTATCAAGCCTGAAAAATAGTATCTTGAAGAGCCTCATTGATCAGACGGCACTACATGGACGACGTATTCATTGTATGTAATAGCGAAGCGGAGGCAGAAGCACTTCTAAAGAGCCTCAATTCATGTCACCCAAACCTGAACTTTACGACTGAACACGAGGAAAGTAATATGATTAGTTTTTTAGGTGTCTCATTAGTGTAAATAATCGATGAATTTGTCGAAAGGTCCATCTATAGGAAACCTTCATGGACAAGACAGTACCTTCATTTTAGGAGCTTTGTCCCGATCCAATACAAAGAGAATGTAGTCAGAAGGCTGTATAACAAAACCAGGAAAATTTGTTCCTACAGCGTACTGGACTACAAAATGGTGACTTTGAAAGACGTGCTAGTGAAGAGTGGGTACCCATAAAGCTTTATCAGCAAGCACGCAAATTGGGTAGGGAGCAGAACAACGTCCCCAGCCGTGCAGAAAAAACCAGTGTATATAACCCTACCATTCAAGGTGACGACGTGCTAGAAGTAGATAGATGAAGACTGGACAAGTCTGTCAGAACGACTTACTACGCTGCTAAACTCGTTCTCCTCAGCGCTACCAAAAGAGTGCTGCAGCAGTCATGGAAAGACAGGGCTCCGATCCTCTACACGTCTAAATGCACATATCAATTCGAATGTACCTGCGGAAGCAAATACATTGGTCTTAAGGAGAGGCGCCTGTCTACCCGAATGGTTGAGCAC